AACATTAACTAAAACTATATATATATATATATACACACACACAAACACATATATAAAGCCTTTTTCATTACTTGAAATAAATATAAAGTGAAATATTATGTATTATTTTATAATATATAATATAAATATTATAATAACCTGATGTACTAAAATAAGTTAAAACTGAAATAAAAATTGTAATAGAAAAAATCAAAAACTAATAAAAATGAGATAAACACACAGCAACATTACTAAAACTTTAAGTAGAATTAAATAAAAACAGAATATATAAAAATAAAATGTAATTCAAAATATAAAAAACTAGAAATAAAAATAAAATAAAATGAATGGAAACTAAATAGATATTTTAATTTTTGAAAAATTCTCAAAACCTACTGGAAATGCCAAAAACACTCAAATTAAAATGAGCATAAACTAAAATTAAAATTAAAACAGAATATATAAAAATAAAAACTAATTAAAAAAATAAAAAGCTATAAATAGAACAAAAATTAAATTAAATTAAAATGAATAGAAACTATATAGATATATATTTTTTTTTTTTTAATTCAAAAACTACTGGAAATGCCAAAAACACTAAAATAAAAATTTAAATGAAAACAGAAAACTGATTCAAAATATCAATAAAAACTATAATTGTATCTCAGTTATACTGAAATACCACTGCCAAGTATAGTGTGGTATTTTTATTAGAAAGCATCCTTTTGCAGCTCACTGATGTCTCAGAAGCTGTCTAGTTAGTTCCCTCAGTAGGGTTTGAAGCAGAGCTGCTGCAGATGTCAGATTGATATGATCAGTGTCTGATACTGACAGAATGAATCACTCCTGTATAGAGATGTGTGTTTGTCTGATGATGATGGTGATGATGGTGATGGTGACTGGGTTGTGTGTTAGTTGTCTCTTGACTAACTGTCTTCTCTCTGTCTCTCAGGTGAGGCTGTAGATTAATCTGCTTTACTCGGTGAATCTCACACGCGGCTCATATTTCACTTCACAGTCGAAAGAAAGAAACAAGAAAATATATTTAGCATGAAAACATGCAGCTTATTTTAACAGCATATTTTTGTGCATATTTAAGCACATTTAACCCCAAATTCCCATTCCTACTGTATGTTAGTTTAGTCAGTATGAATTAAATTCAGTATAAATTAATTTCAGAATCAAAAGAAAGAAATACAAAAATATATGTAGCCTGAAGAAAATTAAGTGTATTTTAAAAACGTGTTTTGGTGCATTAAGCACATTTAACCCCAAATTCCCATTTCTATATTAATTAAGTCGGTATAAAATAAATTTAGCATGAATACTACTCTACCTTTTTATATATATATATATATATATATATATATATATTTATAAATGTACTTTTGCAATATAAATATTTTTTTCACAATAATAATTTTTAATCCACTGCTGTGGATTACAGTTGTAAAATTAATATTGTAGTGTAAAATGTTGATGATTTTAACCTTCATTTTCTTCATGCAGAATCTAATTTCTAATTTTCCTTTTGGTTTTGTGTTGAAATATCGTTCATGTTTGCTGAGATTCACCCGTACACAAAAAAAAATGGTAACCTAGAAGTGGTAACATAAATGAACTGGTTTAATTCAAGTCAAATCGTTGTATTAATGATTAATGTATTTATTTATCTATTTATTTAGTTTTTTTTATTGATTTATTTTTATTATTTATTTATTTAGTAATGTACATATTTATT